AGGCAAAGAAGGACATTACATAATGGTAAAAGGATCAATGCAACAAGAAGAGCTAATGATCCTAAATATATACGCACCCAAAACAGGAGTACCCAGACACATAAGGCAAGTTCTTAAGGACTTACAAAGCGACTTAGACTCCCACACAATAGTGGGAGACTTCAACAACACATTGTCAATATTAGATAGACCAATGAGACAGAAAATTAACAAGGCTATCCAGCACTTGAACTCAGACCCAGAACAAGTAAACTTAATAAACATTTACAGAACTCTCCACCCCAAATCCACAAAACATACATTCTTATCAGTACCACATCACACCTACTCTAAAAGTGACTACATAATTGGAAGTAAATCACTTCTCAGTAATTGCATAGCATTTCACAGGTTTAAATGAAATATTGGTTGGCTGCTTGTTTGTTATTTTCCTCCCTTATTCCTTCCTGTCTCCATTGTTAAGCACAATTTTTGGCATAAAAGAGGTTTTTAATACCCATTTTCATATTGCATTCTAGCTTGGGCAATACAGCAAGATTCCCGTTCTCTCTCCCTCTTTCTCTCTTTCATTCTTTTTTAATTAATTAATTTATTTCTTTCCAAACAAAACAACAAAACAAAAAAAAAGAAAGCCAGTCCAAGTCCCAAAACCTCAAGAGTAGGGAAGTCGACAGCGCAGCCTTCTGTCTGTGGCTGAAGGCCCAAGAGCCCTTGGCCAACCATTGTTATAGATACAAGAGTCCAACAGAAGAACTTGGAGTCTGATGTTCAAGGGCAGGAAGCATCCAGGATGGGAGAAAGATGAAGGCATCTTTCTCACAGTCCTTCCACGTTCCTCTGCCTGCTTTTATCCTAGCTGCACTGGCAGCTGATTAGATGGCACCCACCCAGATTGAGAGTGATTCTGCCTCTCCCAGTCCACTGATTCAAACACCTTCACAGACATAACCAGCAATGATACTTTGCATACTTCAATCCAATCAACTTGGTACTCAATATTAACCCTTAAAGTGGTAAGAATTTTGGTCTTTATCCCAGGGTACTTGTAATCCAATGAGGGGTTTACACAGACCATTATCTGATTGCCATTAGGCAAGGTTATTCTGGTTTCAGTGTAGTCACTGCATTTTAGAGGTTGCGTGAAAGTTGGTAATATGGGATGACAGGAAGGATATTACTCTGGTAGTCTTGCCTAGAGGTGATGATGGTTGGAACTGAAGCAGAGAGGGGTGGAAGAGATTGACAGTGGGCAATTATGTGAATGAGCAAAGAAGAGGGCCTAATGATGACCCTTGAAGATCTAACACTTAAAGGCCAGGGAGATCAGAAAGAGCCTTCAAGAGTTACAGATAAATGGCCAGAGAGACGGGAGAACAACAGGCTGGTATGCCCTCAAAGGAGACAAGGAAGAAACAGTTGAGCCTATTGTTATGGAGACAAATGAAGAGAGGCTAAATATGTTTCTGTATAGCACCTTCATCTTGAGAGATGCTGTTAGACAATAAATTCTGGCCCAGGTACCACACCACATCTTGCTTCTGACATAGCACACCATGGCTGACCCTCTGCCATTGGACACTAGATGTTCTTTCCACCCCTAGAATGGATTCGATCACTAACTCCAGATGCAAGTCCCTGGTGGTTGTATTTTACTGACAGAGGTTAATTCATTTTCCTGTAACTCTACCTCCTAGAGTCAGGGAAAGCAGGTAGGTGGCCTTTTTTGTTTCTGTAATTAGTGACAGGGCACAACCTCTCACAAGACTTAACTGAAGGCTAACTCTCAAATTTAGGAAGGAGAGGTCAGATGAAGGGTAGAAAAAAAATTGGAAATATCTACTACATTAATCTTAAAAATCATTTTATGTCAGATGCTTTCCTTGGTCCTGGTTTTCGTCTTGGCAGTTGATCTTGGAGTTGATTGCATCCTTTTGTTAACACTGGGTCTTATTTGCATCACCGCTGCTCCATTTATCCATTGAATATTTTATGTAGACTCCCACTTGCACCATGCATTGTGTGAGGAACTGAGTACATGAAATAGAAAAGACGTAGTTCTTGTTCTCCAGATGCTTGGAGTCTGAAGTAGAAGGACCTACTGTGAATACAAAGGTTGAGTTCCAGGGCCACTCGCTTGTCTTGGTCCCATTCAGGTCTCCAAAGGAGGCCCTAGGAATGGGTTCATAAGGTCATAGATTTAAAACTATTTGCAAAAGTAAGCCAATTTTCTCGCATTTTGTTAAGAACTTTTGACATCTCATTCTGACTACTCTGAAAGTTCTCTTCCTGTTGGGTGGTGTTTAAATGGTTATGCGCATTTTTGCATTTAGCTAAGGGGGAGTTGAGTTGGGATACAATCTGTTTGGGTTTAGCAGGATATAGTTACTTTGTTTGTAGGTATTTCCATAAATGGTTCAATTATAGAGAGCAGGGAAATCTGCTGAGAAGGGTCTGGTAATGCCTTGGAGACTGCTCTGATCCCAGGATGGCTCTTACCCTCAAAAGGCAGGAAACTGGGAGCTTTTAAGGTGATATTATTTTTTCTTTTTGAGATGGAGTCTCTCTTCACCCAGGCTGGAGTGCAATGGTGTGATCTCGGCTCACTGCAACCTCCGTCTCCCGGGTTCAAGCAATTTTCCTGCCTCAGCCTCCTGAGTAGCTGAGATGACAGGCATGCGCCACCACGCCCAGCTAATTTTTGTATTTTTAGTAGAGATGGGGTTTCACCATGTTGGCCAGGCTGGTCTTGAACTCCTGACCTTGTGATCACCCTCCTCAGCCTCCCAAAGTGCTGGGATTACAGGAGTGAGCCACCATGAGGTGAATTCTTTTATTACTAAAAACTTAGCTAATTGTCTTTTCCTTTCTCGGGAACCTCCCTTTGAAAGGCCATATCTGCCTGAAAGTCATTTTCCCTGGATGCTACGCAGCAAAGATCACCTCTGTTCCTGTCTCCCAATTCTTGGTGCTAACTCTACTCAGTGGGAGGTGCTGGCATCTGGTGGCTCTCCTCTCTTCCCCCTGCACTGCCACCTCCACAGTTTTAGAGGCTGTGGACTACTTCAGTAGAGAGTTTTGTCCTTTTTTTCATTTCTTGTTCTTTGCTTGGTTAGGGTAAACTTGGATTGTCTTTGGGGGCAGTGGGTAATGGTATGATTTGAACTTGAAAGTGGTTCATGCCTTGTAACTTGGGCTTAATGACTTAAGGACACTTGAAAGATAAACCAAAACACTACATAGATTTTTAAAAGCCTTTGTTCAAAATAATTTATAAAGGTCAAATACTCCATTTGAACTGCATTTTGGAAAAATGTTTTGTAATGATTCAATAAACCTTCTCTCTCATCTTTAAATTTAAATTTTAGAGAGCTAAGAGGATAGTCAGAGAAAGATAGAATATTTTGTAAAAATTGGCCAGTCACGCTGGCTCACATCTGTAATCCCAACACTTTGGGAGGCCGAGGTGGGCGGATTGCCTGAGCTTAGGAGGTTAAGACCACCCTGGGGAATATGGTGAAACCTTATCTCTACTAAAAAAAAAAAAAATTAAGCAGGTATGGTGGTGCACACCTGTACTCCCAGCTACTCCAGAGGCTGGGGCACGAGAATTGCTTTAGCCTAGGAGGTGGAGGTTGCAGTGAGCAGAGATCACACCACTGCACTCCAGCTTGGGCTACAGAGTGAGACTCTCAGAAAAAAAAAAAAAAAGTATAATATTTAAATAATCACATCCAAAGCAGCAACTGATGGTAATTAGGGGAAGAGATACATTTTGGGAAGAGATAATAAATAGTATTTAATATTTTTGATAATCTAATTAATGAAGAGGAATGAAGCATATGAAAACATTGGAAAAACTTTTAGATTTCTTGGTATTTTGACATAAATATTGACATAGCTGGAGATAAAATAAAACTTACGTACAGCTACAGTGAGACCATCAACTTCAAACTAGTTAAAAAGAGTCAACAATCTGGAGTATTTAAGATTATTATTACTATTGTGTGTTTTTGCACAGCCAAACTCAAAAGAGCTTCACTTATACAGTTTGACCCAATTTCACAACAATCCTAAAAATGTGTATTACCAATAATGAATAGTGAAGCTGAAAGAAATTTTTCTAAATTATTGTTGCTTATTAAAATTTTTTTAAAAATTTAATTGTGCTAAAAATTACATAACATAAAATTAATGATCTTAACTATTTTTAAGTGTACAGTCCGGTAGTGTTGTCTATTTATATTATTGTGCAACTGATCCATATCGTTTGATTTTAATTATAAAATAAAATTGAGAAAATACTGATTTTAGGATTTATGTTACAAAATAATTGTCACATGAAAGACAACTGAGGTTATTTGTATTGTTACAGGAAAGTTTTACCAACTCCTAAGTGTAAGTGTGTGGAAAGTCCTCCCATGTGACCCTGTGCCTAACAGAGATGCCTGGCCTCTTTGGAAGTGTACTGGGTCTCTTGCAATGGAGGGAACAATGATCAGTTCTGAAGACTTTGCCATCCTGTCCTTAAGTGATCAGAACTTGTTGTCTAGGAATTCCCCCAATATAAAAGATACTTCTTCTTTTGCTGTTTAGCTCTGAGAGTCCCATGGAATTTGTTTCTTGATTTATTAGGCTCTCCTTTGCCTTGGAAGCAAAATAACTGTCATTTTGTTTTCAAAGTTGATCTTTAGTTTGTTCTTCAAGAGCTTCTAAAATGTACAACTTAACACTTTACTCATTCAAAATACATACTCATTTTTGTAGCTAATTGTTTTTGTAGTTTTGTGCTCTTTCTAAGCCCCACTTCCTTCTGCATGAAGCCCAGGAGATTTTGATTGTCCCATTCTATGGAGTCAGACCTGTTTTATACTTGTCCATTGAGGATCTGCAATGACCCTGCGCTGTTTGGAGGTAGCTCTTATTATTCATGTCTTGGCATAAGAAGAAACTCTTTACTCCTCGTGACATAAAAAAGGTGTTGGATACTTTGATCCTCACCTTTTTTTTTTTTGTTTCTTTCTTTCCTACTTCCTGATTTTGTAAGGTAAATAAACTATAAGTGACTTTTCAAGGTCACATATAATTAATTTCAGAGTTAGGCCTAGCTGTCTTAACTTACTCTAATATTAGTTTCACCATTTCTATCTATTCCTACAATGAAATATCACAAACATATGCAAGTTTCTTTCTATAGAGCTTAGTACTTACCCCAACTCAAACTATTAAGACTATGTTAAAATCCTCAGCCCCTTTACATAAAATATACATTATCATAGAGAAACTCACCTTCAGTTTTAATGATCTCCTTACAACAATTAGATTCTAAAGAGGGCATGTAAGGCAAAAATCACATAAAGTTAAATTTACCAAATTACCCTTGAAAGTCCCTTAAATAACCCATAACAAGTGAGATGCTCAATAGTCACAGGAAAACTGAGCCAAGGTGGGGGTGAGAGCAGATTCACATTTCTCATCCCACACTCACTCTGGGGCAGATGCTCCCTGACAACAGCAATGATGCCTATGGCACTCTTCAGTTAGATACCCAGCTATGATAGGTTTCTATTCAAATTAACAGCATTTCTTAGTCTCTCCTGAATTAGGCCATATTAAGGATAAAATTGGCATATGGTCCCAATTGAATCCTTAGGATTTTATGTAGCATCTAATTTGACTAGAATAGAAGTCTGTGTGGAAGAATAACTTGGCAAGGTTAACAAAGTTGAATTGCAATTATTTCTCCCAAATCCAAACAAAACCTCAATTTTTCTTTCCTTCTCCATCGTTTGGATAACTGTGATCTTACAAACTGGTCTATGATTATTGGCATAACTGAATGTCAGCTCTAGCTGTTTGCCATCTGAGCCTCGGCGTATCTCCATCAATTCTAAACTTAACAACCATCAATATGTGTTAAAGATGCATTTGGGCATTTGGGTGTATGTGTTGGCTATGAAAATTACTTTTGTGCTGAGATAGAAGTAATCATCGTATAATAATAAAATGAATACTTTAAATGCTTATTTAAAATTTTTGTGTAATAGGGGAAGATTTCAGCATTTGCCATTTTTTTCTACAATGGTTGATTTGCTGCATTTATTCTTTATTTGTCTTCCCTGTGAATACATTTATTGCCAGTGCTTTTAGTGGTACTGTTAGCTTCATTGCATAATTAGTGGTATTCATCTGCTGCTTTTTATCCTGGAAGAACTGTAATTAGTTTTCATTCACTGGTGACATTTATGCAGTATCAGGGTCATTGTCAAAAGGTATAAAGACTATAATTCTATTGCTAGGCTTTAAATCCCAAAAAATGCACAAATCTATTTTATTCATCTCTTGTAATAAAAGAGGGTATGAGCTACGACTGATAGAATTTCATTCTGCTTGGAAGAAATGGATATTATATGATTTGAATGAGTTATGTGTTTGGGTACAAAGTATCAAGTTGTTTTCTGTCCCAAAGCAGGAAATTCTATTCCCACTATTTAGTTGGTTAATTTTGAATAGCTCAAGTCATGTTTAAGAGATCAGTTGTTTTAAGACAGGCATGGTGGCTCATGCTCGTAATCCCAGCACTTTGGGAGGCTGAGGAGAGAGGACAGTTGAGCCCAGGAGTTCAAGATCATCCTGGACAACATGTTGAAACCTTGTCTCTGCAAAAACTACAAAAATTAGCTGGGCCATGGTGGTATTCACGCCCGTAGTCAAAGCTACCTGGGAGGCTGAGGCAGGACTAGAAATATGGGCTTGTAGTCTAAGTCAGCCTGAATTCAAAACCCACTTCATTCACTAAACAGTCCTCAAAAGGTTAATTGTGAAGATTAAATTCAGTCATGTTTGTGGAGCATTTAGGATAGCATTCATTACCATCAAGTCTTTCACAAGATTTTTATGTGTCTTTCCAGGAGGCTGCAGGTCAGAAGGCTTTATTATAGGGTCAAAGAGTTCTGGAATTCTTAAGAGGGAAGCCACAGATTGAAGTCAGTATCAAATGAAAGAATGTGTCTTGTAGAGTGTTTAATATGGCTGAAGTAATATAAATCTAAAGCAGTGGAGGTGTTGTTAAAATTTTGCCACAAGCCTATACGTTCCAGT